TCTTTTAATGAGATTGTAAAGGTTACTATTACTTTTAGTTAGTTAAAAACAAAGTTACGGGGAGATGTCCCTTTTATTTTCATCTCTGTAGCTTTGTAATAAAGCATGTCATGTCAAGAGTGACACAAATCTGGACTTAGGATTTTTTCAGTTGGATGTTTCATGTTACAAAGTAGTGTTCTGAAGTAGTGGCCTGCAAGAAGTACAGGACGTTCTCCTTTGCTTTAGTCTCCAGTACAGTGATTAAGTACAGGATTACACATTAAAGGTTACAGTTTACTTTGTAACCAGTTTAGAAGGTTTGATTTATTTAGCTTAGTTATTTGTTTTTGTTTGTTTTTTGAGACAGGATCTCATGTAGCCTAGGCTGGCCTTGAATTTGCTGTATGGCTGAGAGTGACCTTGATCTTCTGATTTTCTGCCTCCACCTCCCAAATGCTGGGGTCATGGGCATGCTCTGTTGTGCAAAGCCAAGATAGACAGTTTTCATAAAGTAGTCAAGAAACAAGTTTTCCTACTCTTTTATCTGCCAAGCTTCAAGCTGTATCATGCCTAGCCCATTAAGAAATAAATTTATGTTTGCATGTAAGTCTTCTATTAGTCATGTGACATTGAATGGGTGACTTACAGTTTATAAATTTATTAGATGAAATATTTGTCTAATCATATTATAAAAAGGATGAATCAGAAAGGCTGTGAGTTAGCAGAAAGCAAATATTAAAGATAATGAACTCAGAGTCACTTCAATCCGAGCTGCTCAAACCTGATTCACTTGCAGCTCCTTTTAGTCTGAGAATTTTCATGTGACCTGGGTGTAAAGTTCCATAAAGTTCCAGGTACACAAATCAAGCATTTACAGATTCTAAATCATGAAAAAAATTATCTTAAAGCAATCCTTTGGCATATATAAAATTTTATATTAATTAAACATGAAAGCAAATTTAAATGCTAAGATGAATGTGCTTTTCTTGTTTTTGTTTTAAATATAAATTAAGTCTTGTTAGGACATAGAACAACCTTAACTTTTTCAGCATTTGCTAATTTATCAAATTATATTTGTCAATGCTGAGAGCACTACTTTAACAAATAGAACACATTGGCAGAAATATGTGTAGGATCATCTCAGAAATTGTTGTAAATTGTCTTGATCTTAAGCCATAATTCATTGAATAATCTTTTTATGAGACTCAAATCAGGTACAGACAAATTTCAAACCAAGCACTTTACTTATTCTAATATGAAAACAATTTGATAGACATATGCTGAGGAATGATAGGAACATTTTTTGTCTGCATAGTTAAACCATTGTTTCTAAAAGAGCCAAAAATTTGTATGTGAAGTAAAATTGCTACAACTGGTAGCAGACAATGGTCTTGAAGCTGAGCTTAGGCATTTCATTGTGTCTTGTGGGAATGCGTGGAGAGACGGTGTGTGCAGCACGGTGTGTGCATGCCATGGGTTTAGAACCAAGGGCTCTCCATGAACACTGCTGTCAGCAATACCTCAGTCGTTAATGGTTTGTTTTTTATTAATTTTTGGTTGGTACACATTTGGAAAGTTTTTGCTGGTGTGTATATGCATGCATGCATGCCTATGAGTTCATGAGCCCCAGTTTAAGGAACTGAGATTTAGACAGTAGAAGTTAGCCTTAAAGGAGTAAGGGAGAGCATATCACCAGCTTGTCTGCTCCGTTAAAGACCCCACAGTCTGAAGGTCTCCCAGGAGATCTGCTGCATGCAGGGCAACAGATCAGCAGCTTGTCTGCCCCTCTGAAGACCCTACAGTCTGAGGCCCCACAGGTGGTCTGCTAAGCCAGGGTCACAGGCCTACTAGGAGACCTGCAGCAACACAGGGACACAGGAGGCAAGCTCCATATAGAGACACTCAAACCAGCTAATACCAGAGATAACTAGATGGCAAGAGGCAAGCGCAAGAGCAACAGACCCCAGTATACTTGGCATCATCAGAACCCAGTTCTCCAACCACAGCAAGCCCTAGATACACTAATACACCTGAAAATCAGGAAGCTGAGCTAAAGTCTTACCTCATGAAGATAATTGAGACCTTTAAGGAAGATATAAATAACTCATTTTAAAGAATGCAGGAAAACACAGGTAAACAGGTAGAAGGTCTTAAAGAGGAAACAAATATATCCCTTAAAGAAATAAAGGAAAACACAATCTGACAGGTAAAGGAATTGAATAAAGTGGTCCATGACCTAAAAGTGGAAGTAGAAACAATAAAGAAAACACAAATGGAGGCAACACTTAAAATGGAAATCCTAGGAAAGAGGTCAGGAATTATAGATGTAAGCATCACCAACAGAATAAAAGAGATAGAAGAGAAAAATCGCAGGTGTAGAAGATACATAGACGATATTGACAGAACTTTCAAAGAAAATCCAAAACATAAAAATCTCCTAGCCCAAAACATCCAGGAAATCCAGGACACAATGAGAAGACCAAATCTAAGAATAATAGGAATAGAAAGAGAGCAGAGATTCCCAGCTCAAAGGACCTGAAAACGTCTTCAACAAAATCATAGATGAAAAGTTCCTCAACCTAAAGAAAGAGATGGCCATCAATGTACAAGATGCCAATAGAACACCAAATAGATTGGACCAGAAAAGAAAATCCTCTTGTCACATAATAATCAAAACACTAAATGCACAGAACAAAGAAAGAATATTAAAAGCTGTAAGGGAAAAAGGCCAAGTAACATATAAAGGTAGACCTATCAGAATTACACCGGACTCTCAACAGAGACATTAAAAGCCAGAAGATCTTGGATAGAGGTCATGCAGACTCTAAGAGAACACAAATGCCAGCCCAGGCTACTATTTCCAGCAAAACTCTCAATCAACATAGATGGAAAAAAACAAAATATTCCAGGACAAAACCAAATTTAAACAATATCAGTCTACCAATACAGCCCTACAGAGGATTCTAGAAGGAAAACTCCAACATGAGGAAGGTACCTATACCAAAGAGAAAACAAGATACTAATCATCTCACAACAAAGGCAAAAGGAGAGAATCACATGCACATAATGCCACTTATAACAAACATAACTGGAACTAACAATTATCTGTCTTTAATATCTGTCAATATCAATGGACTCAATTCCCCAGTAAAAAGACATAAGCTAACAAACTGGATATGCAAAGAGTATCAGCATTTTGTTGCATATAGGAAATATACCTCAATAGCAAAGACATACACTACCTCAGAGTAAAAGGCTAGAAAAAACGTCTTCCAAGGAAATTGTCCTAAGAAACAAGGTGTAGTTGACATCCTAATATCTAATAAAATAGACTTTCAACCGAAAGTTACCAAACAAGATGGGGAAAGGCACTTCATATTCATCAGAGGAAAAATCCACCAAGAAAAAGTCTCAATTATGAATATCTATGCCCTAAACACAAGGGCACCGACATTCATAAACAAAACTTTACCAAAGCTCAAAACACACATTAAACCCCAAACAATAATAGTGAGCATCTTCAACACCTCCCTCTAACTAATGGACAGGACATTGAACCAGAAACTAAACAGAGACACAGTGAAACTAATAGAGGTTATGAACCAAATGGACTTAACATATCTACAGAACATTTCAGCCTAAAACAAAAGAATATACCTTCTTCTTAGCACCTCATAATAACCTTCTCCAAAATTGAACATATAATGGGTCACAGAACAAGGCTCAACCAATACAAGAAGATTGAAATAATCTCATGCATCCTATCAGATCACCACAGCCTAAGTCTGGTCTTTAATGACAACAAAAACAACAGAAAACCCACATACCCATGGAAACTGAACAACTCTCTGCTTAGTGATAAGTTGATCAGGGAAGAAATAAAGAAATCAAAGACTATATAGAATTCAATGAAAATGAAGAAACATCATACCCAGACTTATGGAACACAGTGAAACCAGTGTTAAGAGGAAAATTCATAATGCTAAGTGCCTTCATAAAGAAATTGGAGAGATCCCACACAAGCAACATAAAAGCACACTTGAGTACTCTAGAACAGAAAAAAAACAAACACATCCAAGAGGAGCAGATGGCAGGAAATAGTCCAACTTAGGGCTATAATCAACCAAATAGATAAAAAGAATGTTACAAAGAAGCAACAAAACCAAAAATCTGTTTTTTTTTTTTTTTGAGAAATTCAACAAGATAAATGCCTAGCCAAACTAACTGAAGGGCCCAGAGAAAGGATCCAAATTAACCAAATCAGAAATGAAAAGAGAGACATAACAATAGAAACTGAGGAAATTAAAAAATCATCAAATCCTTTTACAAAAGCCTATATTCAACAAGACTGGAAAATCTAGATGAAAAGTTATACAATTTATTATTGCTATTTATACTTTAAGATACTATCCATGTTTTCGTTGTATGGATTTTGATGCTTTAAATACTTGTTGATCAACTAAAATCAACCAACTAAAAGGGATGTTAATTAATTACTTTATTACTTTATTTATTATTTTATTTATTTATTTATTTACTTATTTATTTTTGTTAGTTTTGTGACAAGGTCCCATGCTGTAGTCCATGCTGACCTGACTCACTATGTAGTTCAGGCTGGCCTCAAACATGTGACAGTTTGCATATTTTACTCTTCTGAGTGCCAAGATTGTAGACAGGAGCCATCATGCTCAGCTTGTTAAAGTTTAGATCTTAATGAAGGAGTGATTCATCATAGTTTCAGATCCCATGCAAACGTGGTGAGTTCATAAGGCACATATCATGGTCCATGCACATCACAGTATTCTGCCTAGGCTCTCACTGACATTTGAAGCATTTGTGCTTGAGCATGTTGGATACAAATCTTTTATAATTCATTGTACAGTTTTGCAAAATACCTGCTACTTATAATGTAAAAGTTCTTATAAAACTAAACATTTATAACTGTTAAGCATTTAAATCATAGTTAAGTGGGAACTTGTAATACAAATGCTAATTTATTGTTATTATTTTTTCTGAAGTCTTGGCTACTGATGATTCAGCAGACAGAACAGCTTAGTAGGATCATGAAGACACACGCAGAGGACTTGAACTCTGGGCCCTTGCATAGGCTCACCATGATGATCAAGGACAAGCAGCAGGTAAAGAAGAGCTATGTAGGCATTCATCAGCAGCTCGAGGCAGAGATGATCAAGGTAGGTCGGCCTGAAGTTAGTGCTTTTTTCAAATTTCTTTTTAAAACCTATGTTAATATTTTGTCCTGTTTGAGCTTAAAATTGTCATTTCTGATATAAGTGTTTGTTGTCTATCTTTAGTGATACTTTGTTGTGTACAGAACGTTACTGATAAGATGCTATTTCAGTCCCAACAAAGAGATGACATACTGAACATTAAGCTGTGCCTCAGAGATCTTGTAATAATGTGGAATACGTAAATTTTATTTACTGAAATAGTTTTTAGGGCTGGAGAGATGGCTCAGTGGTTAAGAGCACTGACTCCTGCTTTTCTAGAAGACCCAGATTTAATTCTTAGCACCCACATGGCAGCTTACAACCTCTCTAACTCAAGTTCTGGGGATCTGATTTCCTCTTCAGCCTCTGTGAGCACTACAAGCACATGGTGCACAGACATACACAGGAGCAAGACATTTACACACATAAACTTTAAAATAGAAAAAGAAATAGCTTTTAACTCTTGGAAAAAGTTACACACACACACACACACACGCACACGCACACTTCCTTGCATTAATAACTTAGTCAATAGTCCTGAGTGTCTTTACCTTCAGCGTTTGTCTCTTCTGGGTAATTTCTTAACACTTGTGTTACAGAGCTTCCAAACAAAAGAAAAGAGTAGCATGTCTGTCCTGTGGCTGCACCAAGGTCCCCGCTCTTTTGTTTTATGTATGCTCATATTCTCTCCCAGTATTGGGTCATTTAAGGGAAACTCCTGATACCATTTATCCAAAACCATTTTTACCACATATTGGTAATATAGAGATTATTTTTAAAAATAAGAACACTTTGATTAATCCACTTAAAAATGACAGAAATTAAATGTTACTAAACACATCAGAACACTTGCTGGTTAAGTGTTTTCTGTAGGTTTGCTGTAGCTGTGGTGTAATCTGACACATACGTTGCATTTGAGTAATTGCTTTTCAGTTCCTAGATTGTTCTTTCTGTTTATTTTTGAAAAATGCCATTTATTAACTGAAGAAATGAGATACTATGCTATATGTAATTGAATCCCTTAAATTTTGAGTTTTTCTTTTTTTCATTTTTCTGTTTGTTTGTTTGTTTGTTTGTTTGTTTGAGATAGGGTTTACTATGTAGCCTTGGCTGGCTTGGAACTCCCTCTGTAGATCAGGATGACCTGGAACTGCTAGAGCTCTGTTTTGCCCCAAGGGGTGGGAAGAAGTATGTGCCACCACACCTGGCTCTTTATTGGTATTTCTACAACGGAAAGTCTTTTATATAAACCTTTTATTTCTGAATGCAGTTTAACAAATTTTTGTCAAGTAGAATTTTTGGGCCACAGGTATAGTGGTGGATGCCATTTGTCCTAGCACTGTGGAGGTGGAGGCAGTGGTGTACAGCTGGGTCACATGGTAGTTATGTCTGTAGGGTTTTGAGAAACCTTCAGATCGGCTTCCATCCTGGCTGTCCCCATTTACATTTCTGCAGTGTACACTTTGATTTCCCGTCATTCATTTCTCAGAGTTTTTTTTGTTTGTATATAGGAAGGCTGTTGATACTTGCGTGTTAATTTTTCATGCGTCCACATTACCAGAAGTGTTTACCAGCTCTAGGCGTTTTCAGGTGGGGTCTCTGAGATCTCTCAGATATAGAATCATACTCTCTTGTGCAGGGTTTGATGCTGTCCCTTTCTTATCTTTTAGATGGTATATTAGAAGATTTTCAGATGACCAGGAGGTTTCACACCTTTATCTTGCATCACAATAGCGTTTTGACTATAGGTCAAGATGTTTTTTTGTTTATAATTAGTAACTCAGTTCTTGTAAGCTTGCACTGACCCCCCATGATGACTTTTGTCTGGCAAACAGTATGTGTCTCTGCAAATAGAATGCTTTCCCATCTGAGTCTTTAAAATATGAAGAAAATAGCTTCAGCAACAATAAAAATGTATTAGAGTTGCTAATGTAATTTAAAGTTTCTTTCCATTATTTATTCAGTTTTCTACTTATAGAAAATACCACCTGGACACATCGTATTAATTTATTGTTTTAAACAATTTAGAATATATTGTTTCTTATTTTTTCCTTTAAGAAATATTTCTGTTGTTTGATAAGCCAGTTATTATGCACTATTAAAATAAAAACTATTGGGTACTGAAAAAATGGCTCAGAAGTTAAGAGCACTGACTGCTCTTCCAGAGTTACCCAGATTCAGTTACCAGCACTCTCATGTTAGTTCGTGACTTCCAGTAACTCTAGGGCATCTGATGCCATCTTCTGGCCTGCGCAAACACTTTGCATGCATGCAGAACTTATGTACATGCCAGCACTCACGTATACACAGAAATGATCTTACCAAATGGACAAACCGAAACCCTTTTCTGTTTGTTCTTTAATATTTTACAGTGAGTGAAATTTATCATCATTATTTTCAAATTATTCACAGTGCAGATGTTGAGCATATTCTTCTCTTTCCCCTTCGTCTTTCTCATCTTCCTCCTCCAGTTGTTCTCGGCAATTATATTTCTACTTCTACTTTCTTCAATTTGAAATATGTTCACAAGTGATTTTACATGACGGTATAATGTGAGAAAACATGATACTTATCCTTCTGAGACTGGGTTAATTTACTTACTGTGGTTGTCTCTATTTGACATTATTGCCTTATGTAGCTAACATGACTTCTTCCTTCTTTCTGGCTGGAAAGAATTTCATTGTGTGTATTTACCATATTTCCTCACCCAGTCCTTCCTTCTCATACACTTACCGTGGTTCTGTTTAGCTGCTGTGAATAGTTTCACAACATTCATTGATGTGTGAAGTATGTTCTTGACATGTTGAATAGGAGTCCTGTAGGTAAATACCCAGGAGTGGTATATGTGGGTCATATGGTAGATTTATTTCTGTTATTTTGCAAAACCTCCATAATTTTTACAGAGGTTGGATTGGTTTACAGCTCCATTAGCAGTATACAAAGGTTCCTCTTGGTCCATATCTTCAGTGTCATTTGCTGTTATTTGTTTTCTTCATGGCTGCCCCTCTGACTGGGACAAGGGAGAAACTCATGTAATTCTTTAACAGAGGAGATATAGACTTTTATTAAGGAGAAGCAAAAAAGCATTGCCAGAGGGAGTGATGCTGTCGGTGATTGATGCCGTTGGTGATGGATATCCTCAGTGATTGAGTGATTGATGCCCATGGTGATTGATGCCCTCGGTGATTGATGTCCTCAATGAATGATTGAGTGATTGATGCCCTTGGTAATTGATTTTCTCGCTGGTTTGCTCTCCTATGCTGCCTACACATTTCCTTTTTCATGATACTGGTCATTTTTATTTCACCTTTGGTAACTGGCCATTTATTATTCCATCAGGCCATTTATTGATTAGGTCATTTGTTTTGTTTCTTACTGTTCTTTGTACATTGTAGACATATGTCAGATGTATAGATGCCAAAAATTAAATTAAAGTTAAATTTTAAGGCATAGATTTATACATTGAAAATCGATTTCTTAGCCTTTGGATTATAGATGATATTTTTCTTTTTTTCTAACATTAAAAAGTTTTGAGATTATAGTGTCATTACAGCATTTCTTCCTTGCCTTGCCTCTTTCTAACTCTCTCATATACTCCTCCCAGCTCTCTTTCAAATTCATGGTCTCTTCATTAATCATTATTGTATGCATATTTGTATGTACATATACATTCCAAATATAACCTGTTCAGCCCATATAATATTATTCAAATATGTATTTTTAGAGATGACCATTGCCAAATGGACCACCCCACTCCTGAAAATGCTTTTAGGCTTCTCCTTAATCAGTCTACATTTCCTGTGATAGAGAACTACAGTGTGTTTCTACATTAGTGTAGTTGGTCATGAAGAACACAGCATACATGTGAAGCTATGGCCTGCAGGGATCCCTTAGACACTGCTTATACCCACCCGTACATACTACAGATCCCTCCTGAACTTCAGGCTCAAGGTTCATTCTGGAAGATGCGGAGGAATATTACAAGAGCCACAGGATCAGTGTGTTTGCTATGAGATCGTGTCTCTTAGCATTGTGTTCTTCTTGATTTGTCTTTTGAAGGAAGTTTATGTGTTTTTACATCATATTGAATTTATCATTGATTTTAAAACTGATTTTTAGCTTATTGTCTGTAATTTTCTGGCAAAGAGTCGTCACTTCTAAGTCATAAATATACATAAACTAATGCTTTAGAATGTAAACTGTTGACCAGTTTAAATGTAAAGACTTAACATTTTTCTGCATATTGTGTCTTTGACAGGTCACAAAGACAGAATTGGAGAAATTAAAATCCAGCTATCGACAATTAATAAAAGAAATGAATTCTGCCAAAGAGAAATATAAAGAAGCCTTAGCCAAAGGTATGATAGCATCATAAAAAGTGTTCAGTATGATGGCTTCTATTCTGTCATCTAATAGACATCTTTGTAAGCAGGAAAATTATTCAGCCTAGAGCAGTTTATATTCTAAAATCTCAGACTATGTCAAAATAGGCTGGCTTTTGAAGTGCTACAAATTCTCTTCTTTATGTGTTAAGAGATGCTGAGTAGTTCACATTAGTGAGTTATGTAGTGTTTGTAAAGGATGCAGGGAATGTTATATGTTGTTCTTGCATTCACTTTACTTAGTTAGAGAGTCTTAAATTTACTGTTTCTTATTCAATTTCACAAGCTCTTTATAGCAAAAATTAATCCATGTTTACAGTTTGCTTTTCATGTGATTCTGTGCACCTTAAATATGTTGAGATTGGCATGTCCTTATTAACTTAGAGGGTTCTTCAAGTGTCACATACATCATCACTCTTCCTTTGCATTTTAGAGAATGCTTTAGGTACAGAGAGCATTCCCAAGTGTTGAGCCTTCTCTTAGCCCCTAGTGTTACCTGTTTTTTATCTGTCAGCAGAGTTAACTTTGTAAAGTTGACTGCTTCTTCCTTGGTAGTTAATTACGTTATAAATCCATATGAGATCCCCCAGCATTGGCAATGACATGACTGACTGTAGTTGACTCAGCTGGACTCTGTTGCTCATGTGACTCTCATACTTGTTGGAGAATGACTAGTAAGGGAAGGCTTACTTCATCACCAGTCGTCAAGATCTGTTTTTAGTGATGTAGACCATTTGTGCTTAAACACAAAGTCTGTGTTGTGATGTTTTAAGATGTCTTTGCACTTAATACTTGTCATATAGAAATATGCTCATAGGAAATTCTTGTGAGCCTGGTGAAACACAGCAGTAGCAAGGCAGTGGGCACATCTGAAGACAATGCTTTTAATTGCCTCCCCCTTCCTTCCCACCTTTCTTCCCTCCCTCCCGCCATCCTTCCTTTTCTCTCTTTTTTCTCCATGTTTTCCTTTTATACCTTTCTCTTTCTTGTGCTAGAATCAGGGGTAAGTGCTCTACCCCTCTCCGAGTTGTACCCTAAACCCTGAGAAACTCTCACAGACACATGTTTATACATTTTAAGTTCATGCTGGGAGAGTTGAAGCCGTGTGTGTGTGTGTGTGTGTGTGTGTGTGTGTGTGTGTGTGTTGGAAACTCAACCTGAGTTCTTTGAAAGAGGAGTAAGTTCTTTGAACCTCTGAGCCATCTCTCCCACCCTTAAAAATTAGTTTTAAGAATAAATGTCATGAATGCTAATTTTAAAAAATTTAAGCAGCACCATATTGAAGCAGATGGTATTTAATAAAGTGAATTTAAATATGTTTTGTTGAAGTTTTATAGTTTTCTTGAGGATATACTGAAGAATGATAAAAGATGTTTAAACAAGTTGCTTACTAATTATGTATTCAAATGTAGCCTACCTAGTTGTGTGGCTAGAATTATTCTAGAGTTTTATATTTACCAAGCCTCAAAATATTCCTTCCAGTATCTTTTCTTACATGCATACGAGCCTGAATGCTTCTGCATTCTCACCCATCCTAGTGGAGGAAAGGGATCTAGATTGTCTTTCACATGCCCACTACAGTCAGTCTAGAAAGGATCTCTACTCACCCTCTTTTATTGTTAGAATGGAAGCAGGCTCTTCCTAATTCCCATTCTCTGTGAGGAATACAGGCATGTAAGGGATTGGTTGGCACGTCCATGATCATCCGAAGTCCCCATCCTGTCCTGACAGATGAGTGGAACCTGTTGCTAGAACTGTAGGGAATGGCTTCAGTCTCATTCAAAGGAAATCTATCTATAACTGGGAAGTAGAATTCCTTAAATTGCTTCTTCATGCATTATGAATAGTTCTGTGATACTTTATAGCCAATTAAAATTAATTAGATCTTTGAGTTATTTCTTTAGAATACTTTAATTGTGAAAAAGCAGTTTGGAATGAGTCCAGCCTTGAGACAGATGGTTCAATTTTTTTTTTTTTAAAAAACCCCAAATCTAAACTTTAAGAAAATGAGCGTGAGGGGCTGGAGAGATGGCTCAGTGGTTAAGAGCACTGATTGCTCTTCTAAAGGTCCTGAGTTCAATTCCCAGCAACCACATGGTGGCTCACAACCATCTGTAATGAGATCTGATGCCCTCTTCTGGTGCATCTGAAAGCTACAGTGTACTCATCGTATACATAAAAATAAATAAATAAAATAAAAAAAAAAATGAGCATGAGCAAGACTTTGTAAGGTCCCTTCCTTGATTCCATCAAAGAGTTCACAAAATGGGCAGCCATCATTCTGCTGCAATATTTCTATATTAGAGTCATGTATGAGTGATGAATGAAAATATTCTGAAATTCATATCATCTTGAGTCACCTTGTGTCTGAAATGTATTTTGGGTGTGGTAGTTGCTAAAAGCCACAGTACAGTTCAAACTACAGTTGTTATGGTTTCCATCGCAAATGTCCTGTAGAATTTTCAGGTTTGCTTGCCAGCCAGTGGGCTTTGGGAAGCCATTGTATCATGGGGACTGTGACCTTATTGATGCATTAATTCATTGGTAGATTCCTAATTCAGTGCCTTTGGCAGGGGCTGAGGAACTGGGGCCTTAGTGGAGTTGTCCATAGGAGTGTACATGGGGATATGTACCAGCTGCTCTGCCCTCTCCTGCTCCTGTTGTCAGGAGTTGGTCAGCTTTAGTCTGCCCAGTCCCTCTCTATGATGTCCTGTTTCTCCAAGGCCCCTAAGCAAGAGCAGAACTGTGAGGCAGAATCAGTCTTTTGTCTAGGAAGTTGTTTTACTAGGCATTTCATCACAGAGGAGAACAGACTAACAGTTCCTGATCCCCACTTTTGTTAAAAACCAGGAAGTGAGAGCACTTTAAATCTACTCTTCAGCGGATGATACTTTAGCAGCTAACTCATGCATAAATGCTGTCCCCTGTCGGGCATTTAATATGATAGCAACCTTAACAGGACCATTATGAGCAATGGCAGTCTTAGTTATTAACCTAATTTGCATTGTGTTAAAGCTGTGTGGAAATGCAGTGATTATTAAGTATTCTTCTTAAAGACTGAAATGTGATGTGGAATAGAAATCTGTGTCTTTTGTTTATGTGCACAGAGTGGGAGCACAGTCATTTGTTCCTACGTTGCTTTCCCCTGTATGCACAAGTCGAAGTGGCACACAGAAAAATATTAACAAGAGTTAGTTTCTTTGGCTCATTTTCCTTTATGCTTTGTGTGAGTGAAGCTCTTTAGAGATGTCCAAAAAACGATTTTTGGACTTGAGTAACTAGAGAGAGAAAATCAGAAACTAATATTAACAGTATGCTCTTAATGTGAGATGGCAAAATTCTAATCGTTCTTTAATGATAATGTTTTTAAAGTTCCAGTTAGGTTTAAATTTAGTCTTTAAAAAGAATGCAAAAAGCTGGGCAGTGATGGCACATGACTTTAGTCCCAGCACTTGGGAGGCAGAGGCAGGCGGATTTCTGAGTTCGAGGCCAGCCTGGTCAAAAAAAAAATACAAAAAGACTGTTCAATTCATACATTAAGAACAACTCTTAGGACTAGAGACATGGCTCAGAACCTAAGTTCATACCCCAGCGATTATGTACAACAGAGGTGCTGCTTACCTGTGACCTGAGCACTGCTTAGGAAGAGGCAGGAATAGTGCTTTGTTGGTCAACCAGGCAGCGACAGCGAGCTCCAGGTTAATGACAGAGATCCTGTTTCAGAGGAAGAAGATGGAGAACCAAAAAGGAAATCAGCAGAAATTTCCCTTTGGCCTCCACACCCATACACAAGGGAACACATACATATACATATGCATACACACATATGTATACACATACACACACAAGTTCACACATGAGTACACATGCATGTACACATGTGCACACATACACATGCACACTTGCATATACCGCTAATACAAATTTGGTTGTACATATGCATACATGATAAAGCTATTTATTGGTTTCTCCTGTTTCCTAGCTACTGGATTTTGAAGCAGAGAGATTATAGACATTAATGTCTTCACGAGACTTAGTTTTTCAAGCAGAAGACAGCAAGCATAATTAGTTGTTAACTGAAACATATTAAAAGGATTTGGAGAAAGGTTCAGCCATGAGAAGAGCACTTGCTGCTCCTGAGACGCAGGCAGGTTCTAGTCCCAGCATCCACATAACTGCATACAACTGGCAGCGGAGGAGATCTGGCTCCCTCTTCTGGCCTCTGTGGGCACCAGGCATGTACATAGTGCACACACATACTCACACAGGCAGAACACTCACACATGTTAAGTGAAAGCAAGAAACTAATCTTCAAAAAGTCTGTTAAAAATGGCATGATTAGTAGGATGGGGAAAATGAAGCAGGTAGGTAGGTGTGGTGTCAAGGGTCGTAGGTCATGAAGTCATGGATAGATGACCATTAACACAGAGGCCAAGGGGGTAGGGGGTTGATCTAATGCTGTTCTGGGACAGAGTGCATCCTCCTCCTGCTGCTGAGGAAAGGTGTGGCTGGATAAGATGAGAAGAGCTGGCAGGGGAGCTGAAGGGTATTCAGGGTCATTGCAGCCAAACACTTCAGCTCCTCTGAGTAAACAGGGATGCTGGCAGATGGGTTTAAGTAGAGAAGTTCTGTGAACTTGCTTAATAACACAGTAATTCTGGTCAACTTATGGGGCCCAGTGTGAGAGGTGCAGCAAGCATGGGAAGAAGGCTACTGCTTACCTTTAGTCTACTGCAGTGATCCAGTCAAGGCTGTCCTGAATGGTACCCTGGTGGTAAGAATGCTCAGAATGTAATTGACTCTTTTTAATTGAAAAAAAAATCATTAATTGTGTGTGTGTGTGTGTGTATGTGTGTGTGTGTGTGTCTGTGTGACACTGTGTATATGTATGTATGTGAGTGTGTGTTAGTGTGTGTATTTGTGTGTGTGTGTAAGTATGTGTATGAGTGTGTGTGAGTGTATGAGTGTATGAGCTT